CTCCCAGAGCTCCGACCTCATCAAACACCAGCGCACGCACACGGGCGAGCGGCCCTACAAGTGTCCCCGCTGCGGCAAGGCCTTTGCCGACAGCTCCTACCTGCTGCGCCACCAGCGCACCCACTCCGGCCAGAAACCCTACAAGTGCCCACACTGCGGCAAGGCCTTTGGCGACAGCTCCTACCTCCTTCGGCACCAGCGCACGCACAGCCACGAGCGGCCCTACAGCTGCCCGGAGTGTGGCAAGTGCTACAGCCAGAACTCGTCCTTGCGCAGTCACCAGAGGGTGCACACGGGCCAGCGGCCCTTCAGCTGTGGCATCTGCGGCAAAAGCTTCTCGCAGCGCTCGGCCCTCATCCCGCACGCCCGCAGCCACGCCCGCGAGAAGCCCTTCAAGTGCCCCGAGTGCGGCAAGCGCTTTGGCCAGAGCTCCGTGCTGGCCATCCACGCCCGCACCCACCTGCCAGGCCGCACCTACAGCTGCCCCGACTGCGGCAAGACCTTCAACCGCTCGTCCACCCTGATCCAGCACCAGCGCTCCCACACGGGCGAGCGGCCCTACAGGTGCGCCGTGTGCGGCAAGGGCTTCTGCCGCTCGTCCACGCTGCTGCAGCACCACCGCGTGCACAGCGGGCGAGCGGCCCTACAAGTGTGATGACTGCGGCAAGGCCTTCTCCCAGAGCTCCGACCTCATCCGCCACCAGCGCACCCACGCGGCCGGCCGCCGCTGACGGCGCCATCAGGGCTGGGGCTGGGGGTGGGGGAAGGCGGTGGGCGGCGGTGGGTGGGGAGCTGGAGAATCCGTGAGAGAGGAGAATTGAAGCTGGAGGGGTTGAGGGTTCTAGAAGAAGAGGCGGCCGGGGTGCAGGGAGTTGTCCGTGCCCTGGGAATTGGCGGGAGATGGGCTAAGGAAGAGAGAGGGGTTGGAGGGAGGCCGAGCAGGCAGCGGGCGGCTCTGGGAGAGAGGTCAGCAGAGAGCATGCTCCTTGATGCGGGCCTGGCGTGGCTGAGCGCTGGCTGGGGTGGGGTGGGGGCGGGCGGGGGAGGGGCCTTCTTTAGAGTGGGGTAGCTTAGATTGGTAGCTGCTGAGACCCTCGTTGAGTCGGGAAGGGGCCAAAGGGTAGGTGGGGTGCGGAGTGGGGCCTTTGGGTGGGGGTGGGGGGGCGCCCGGGGCCTCGAGTGCAAGCCCCCAGCCTCCCTTGTCTTCCTCAGGCTTTGGAGCCCCTGAATTCGAGTTCAATAAAAACCCTTTTCTGTGCTGAAAGAGACTTGTCCTTAAAATGCGTGTGTGGGCAGTGCCCTGGGCAGCGGGAGGCGCTCATCCGGCCTGTGAGCAGCCGTTGAAGCCCCAGGCCTTGCTGGTACACTCTCGGCTCCATCAAGGCTCTGCTTCGTGTCCCGGGCTTTGAGTGCTGCACACATAGAGGGCGCCAGTGTGCGGGTGTGAGAAAGGCCTCCGTGTCACGGCCATCCCTCCTCCCGAACAGAGCCGCTCTGTCCTGGGCCTTAGAACGCCTGGGTTCTCAGAGCACACGCTGCATTTTCCATCTCTCTCGCTCCTGGAACCAGCTGCGCGGGCCGCCGAGCTGGAACCTCTGGCCATCATCGCTTGCAGCCAGCACAGCTGCAGCTGACGCCTGCCATTGTCCTGTCCTAGGGACTCGGGTGTGAGCACTGGGCGCTGCTCCAGTGCCTCTGCCAACACACTGGGCCCGATCTGCCACAGCTCTGCTCCCTTTCTAGGACCCCTGGCTGAGGACAGGCCACAGCTTGGGGAGTCGCTGCTGGGCACGTCTGGGGCTAGTGCCTGCTGAGGACACAGCGGTGCCCTGGGAAGCCATGAGGGGACTTCAAAAAGTTCATGGAAAATGCATACTCTGAAAAAAAAAAAAAGAAACCAAGATTGGATTTCAAAGTAGGCTTTTACCCAAATATCTTTACATTTTATTGCTTAGATCTATTTATTTTTATTTGGAGGCAGAGTGACAGGGAGGGAAAGAGCATCTTCCACTGCTGGTTCACTCCCGGATTGCTGCAATGGCCTGGGCTGGGGGGCCAGACCAAAGCCAGGAACCTGGAGCTCCATCCGGGTCTCCCACACGGGTGCAGGGCCCAAGCACTTGGGCCATCTTCCACTGCGTTCCCAGGCGCATTAGCAGGGAGCTGGATCAGAAGTGGAGCAGCCAGATGAACTGATGCTCACGTGGGGGTGCTGGCGCCGCAGGACATAACCCGCTGAGCCGTGACGCTGGCCCAATAAATAAATCTTAAAAAAAGATTCTCAGAGAGCTTATGTGCTCTTTACAAATTATAAGGCCTTCAGGATGGGTGTGGGCTGGGGGTGACCTCAGCATCCAGAGACCAAGACATGCTCTCGTGCCTGTGTGCCCAAGCCGCTGAGAGAGCCAAGTAGCTGTGATCCGAATGTCACATCTGTCCCCTTGGCCGCACAGTGCACTCCATTTTCCTTATCTGTGAAATACAAGAAATACTTCCTGAAGTTGGTGGAAAAGTGGAATTAAAAGATAAGTAGAGGGTGGGTGTTTGGCCTGCTGGTTAAGACGCCCACAGCCCGTACCACACCCCGTTCCGACTCCCCGACCCAGCTTCCTGCTCTTACACACCCTGAGGGGTGAAGCTGAAGGCTCCGGTGGTGTCAGCTCTGCTACCTGCTTGGGAAAACTGACAGCTTCACTCCAGCTCGGTCCTGCAGGCGTCCGGGGTGTGAGCCAGTGGCTGGGAGCTCTGCCTGTCTGTCTCTCGGCCTCTCAAAAATTAAAAAAAAATTTTTTTAAGGTGAGGGCCAGGGTGTGACACAGTGGGTTAAGTCACCACCTGCAACTCCTAGGAGACATGGATGGATTTCCTGGCTCCTGGCTTCGACTTGGCCCAGCCCCAGTTATTGTGGCCGTTTGGAGCGTGAACCAGCAGGTGGAAGATCTCTGTCTCTGTCGCTCTGTGTAACTGCCTTTCAAGTAAATAAATCTTTTTTTTTTTTTAAAGATTTATTTACTTGAAAGGCAGAGTTACAGAGAGAGAGAGAGGAAGAGAGAGAGAGCGAGAGAGAGATCGTCCATCTGCTGGTTCACTCCCCAAATAGCCAGAACGACCAAGGCTGGGCCAGGCCAAAGCTGGGATTCAGGAGCTTCTTCTGGGTCTCTGGGATTGGCACTGTGGCGTAGCGGGTTAAGCCGTCACCTGCAGTGCTGAAATCCCATTTGGTTGCTGGTTCGGGTCCTGGCTGCTCCACTTCCACTCCAGCTCTCTGCTAAGGCCTGGGAAAGCAGCAGAAGATGGCCCAAGTGCTTGGGCCCTTGCACCTGTGTGGGAGACTTGGAAGAATCTCCTGGCTCCTGGCTTCAGCCTGACCCAGCCCTGGCTATTTCAGCCACCTGGGGAGTGAACCAGAGGATGGAAGACCTCTCTCTGTCTTTCCTTCTCTCTCTATAACACTGACTTTCAAATAAATAAATCTTAAAAAAAAAAAAAAGAGGCCTAATATTTGCCTAAGACCTCTGCACATCCCCCTACGCACACTCAATCATCTCTAGCTCACGTGTGACACCCGATTCCGTGTAAGTGCCGGGCAAACAGCTGGTATCCTGTGAATGCTTAGGGAATCTTGGCCGGAACAAAGTCTGTGTTCAGTAAGTTCAGTGAGATGTGACCTTTCCCCCAAATATTTTCCGTCCGCGGTTGGTTGAAACGGCAGGTGTAGAACCCACGCATATGAGAAGCCAGCTGTTTATACTTGCAAAAACAGATCAAGTGGAGGTGGGGACTGCCACTCGGATCCCACCATCTCCACTAGGACAGCTCCTGAGGTGCCTGTGGAGCCCGGGGTGAACAGGTCAAGCCCAGAGAGGGCATGCGTCTTCCCTGAGATCACACAGCAAGCCAGTGGAAGAGCTACCGCTCTGCTGGTAGTCCCAGCACCTGGCTTTCTACCACATCATCCTGCCCAGGAAGCCATCACTACCCACTACCACTGTCGAGCATGTATGGGCCGTTTGCACGTGTGACCTCATTTAAAAAACATACTTATCATAGCGAGACAGAGACAGGCAGGGAGAGTCATCTTCCGTCTGCTGGTTCACTCCTCAGACACCTGCAGCCGCTGGGGCTGGGCCAGGCCCAGGCTCGGAGCTGGGGGCCGGCAGGGACCTAAGTACGTGAGTCCCAGGCTGTGCGTTAGCAGGAGACCAGAACTGGAGCGGAGGAGCTGGTACTTGAACCTAGGCAGTTCCCCATGGGGCATGGGCGTGCCAAGGGGCGTCTTAACCACTGTGCCAAGTGCCCGCCCCGTGTCAGAGCTCACGGCTCTGGAGTGTTACACAGCACTCATTCTGATTTTACAGGTGAAACGATGGACCCCAGGGCGCTTGTCAGTGGCCCACATAACACGGCACGATTGGAGACCGACCTAGGTACGCCTGGGTAAGAATACCGAGAGGGGTTGGTGCTGTGGCATAGTGGGTAAAGCCTCTGCCTGCAGTGCCAGCATCCCATATGGACACTGGTTCTGGTCCCAGCTGCCCCACTTCTGATCCGGTTCTCTGCTGTGGCCTGGGAATACATCAGAAGATGGCCCAAGGCCTCTGCACCTGTGTGGGAGATCTGGAAGAAATTTATTTGAAAGAGTTAGAGAGAGAGAAAGAGAGAAGTCTTCTATCCACTGGTTCACTCCCCAATTGGCCTCAACAGCCGGAGCTGTGCTGATCCGAAGCCAGGAGCCAGGAGCTTCTTCCAGGCCTCCCATGTGGGTGCAGGGCCCAAGGACTTGGGCTATCCTCCACTGCCTTCCCCGGGCCACAACAGAGAGCTGGATTAGAAGTGGAACAGCCAAGACTTGAACCAGCGCCCTTATGGGATGCTGGCACTGCAGGCAGTGGTTTTACCCACTACATCACAGTGCCAGCCCCCCAATTTTTTTTAAAAAAAGTATTTATTTTATTTACTTGACAGGCAGAGTTAACAGAGAGGAGAAACAGAGCGAAAGAGACCCTTTTTTAAATTATTATTTTATTTGAAGGGCAGATTTACAGAAAGAGGGAGACACACACACACGCACACTCTCCCATCCGCTGGTTCACTCCCCAAATGGCCTCGACTGCTGAGGCTGGGCGAGGCCAAAGCCAGGAGCGAGGAGCCTCATCTGGGTTTCTCATGTGGGTGCAGGGGCCCTAGCACTTGGATCATCTTCCACTGCTTTCCCAGGCACATTAGCAGGGAGCAGGGTTGGAAGTGGAGCAGCTGGGACTTGAACCGGTGGTCATATGGGATGCTGACACTGCAGGTGGCAGCCTAACCCACTGCGCCATATCGCCAGCCCCGTTTACTATTTTCTTCCCAGAGTGGCTGATGAGGCTGTTTTGAGTGGTGTGTGCCAGGCTCAGGAAAGTTTAGCCACTCCCCTGTAGGCAGCAGGGGACCATCAAAGCAGGGGAGGGGGACACAGAGCTGCTTCTCACCTCCTGCCCAGCCTGCCTTTCTCAGTTTTCTCGCTTCCTAGCGCTAGACCAGGAGCTGGTCTCTCACAATTCCCTGGGACTCCTACTGACCACAAGGGGGCAGCAGCGACTGGTCACTCTGTCCCTTCTACAGGGTGGATGAAGATTCCTTCAATCATTACTTAAAACTGGTGGGGATGGCCTAGACTCCCATGTTCACGAATTATCCAATACCCTCTAACCTTTTCTCCAGTTCTGTGTCTCTCTCATCCCCACCCCCTTTAAAAATTAACTTGAGAGGCGGAAAGACATAGAAGTCTTCCATCACTCTCCACATGCCCCAAGTGACTGGGGACTGGGCCAGGACAGTGCATGGGACCCAGGTCTCCCGCACGGGTGGCTGGAACTCAGTTACTCTGCCAGTGGTGAGTTATCAGCGCTGCCTCCCAGAGAGCTGGGGTCAGGAGCCGGAGCCAGCAATTGAACCAAGGGACTCAGCTATGGGATGTGGGCATCTTTAACGCTCACCCCTCCCTGCTTCTCTGTTGAATTACCCTACAATATCAGGTGCAGGAGGAAAGCAAGGGAGGAGAGCCCACAGGCCTGGGCCCATTGCGTGAACGGGTGGAGAACAAAGCGCTCCCAGCTTGGAGGCCCGGGCTGGAACGGCACCAGCATGAAACCGCAAAACTGGCCAGGGGCTCACATTTCTTGAACGTATGCCTGCAGGCATGGTGTGGGGCCAGGGGCGGAGCAGAGCCTGGGAGGGCAGAGCCTTGAAGGCTGGGGATACCCTGGGGCTGCTCAGACTTCCACATCTCCCCACGCTCAGTCATTAATTCCATGGCACTGTGAAGCACCTACTGTGTGCCCAGCCCTGTGACATCACCAAGGACCACAAGGTGAACAAGACAGGGCCCCGGTCCCCGCCCTCACGGGGGTCCCCTTAAGTAGCAACTGTGACCGGCGCAATGAGGGACAAGGGCGGGCTGCGGGAGCAGGTGCACACGTGGGAGCCCGACTGAGCCAGGCTGGCGGCTGCTGCGAGCTGACAGCGAGCCAGGGAGGGAGCTGGGTAGAACGTTCTGGGCAGAGGCAGCCGGCTGGGCGTGCGTAGCAAGACGGGAGCGAGCTGGAGTAAGAATCTCGGCCAAAGAGCCAGGCGCCTGCAGCGAGGCAGGGACACGGGTGGGAAGAGCTCCCTGGCTGCGGACTGGGCTCCGGGCCAGAGATAGGGCAGTCAGAGCATCTGTGGTCGCTAGGGCCAGGTGTGAGGGCCCGGAGCGGCCCTGGGTTTCCTGCGACTGCGGCTTCTCACCCCGGAGGAGGAGCCGCAGAGGCTGTGGCAGCGGGGACCAAGGCCTGGGCGCGGAGCCTGCCTTCCTGGCCCGTCCCTCAGCAGTTTCTAGCAGGAGACGCTTCCACGCTCAAGACGGGGAAACTGAGGCCTGAGGACAGGCAGTGTTACTCGGCCAAGACACGGAGACGGAGGCCGGGGCGGTCCCGTGCTGGGCGCACTCAGTCCTTGTCCTCTCCTTCCTTGGCTTCCGTGCCCTGCAGGGGCTCCAGGCAGTCAGCGGTGGTGCCTCCTCCCGCGCCTTCTCCCGGGACTCCATTCGGGATGCTGCCGCCGTCGGCCTCCATCTTCTCCTTCAGGTTCCGCTTGAAGAAGCCCACCTGCGGGAAGAGAAGCCCAGTGAGCCCAAGTCCCAGGGGGTGCAGTGAGCCCCGGGGAGAGCTGGGAAACCCCGCCCCGGGCACGTGGGGCCCGCCCCGCACACTGTGGGCTTTGTCGGAGCGCTCATTCTTCTTTCCTTTTAAGATTCATTTACTTCTTTGCAGCCAGCATTCTGGCACAACGGATTAAGCTGCCACCTATAATGCCAGCATCCCATGTGGGCGCCGGTACGAGTCCCAGCTGCTCCACTTCCGATCCAGCTCTCTGCTATGGCCTGGGAAAGCAGTAGAAGATGGCCCAAGTCCTTGGGCCCCTGCACCCATCTGGGAGACCTGGAAGAAGCTCCTGGCTCCTGGCTTTGGACTGGTGCAGCTCCGGCCCTTTCAGCCAATTGAGGAGTGAACCAGTGGATGGAGACTCTCTCTCTCTCTCTCTCCCTCTCCCTCTCCCTCTCCCTCTCTCCCTCTCCCTCTCTGCCTCTCCTCTCTCTGTGTAACTCTGACTTTCAAATAAATAAATAAATCTTTAAAAAAATAAAGTGGAGCACTGACTAAAAACTTCTTACAAGATCAGTCTTTAAAAAAAAAAGAAAGAAAAAAGAACAAGTGTGCAAAGACATGACTCAGGACAGCCTTTTCTTGCCATTTAGTTTGAAACAGATGCAAATTAGAGATAATCTGAAATGTTCCTCGGTAGGGAGCTTGTTCCATAAAAGAGGGGGCACCTGGACAGTGGAGCACTAGCGGGGTACAGCTGTCTGTGCTCAGACTGGAAGACATGGAGGTACACTTGTAGGGGCCGGCGTTGTGGCGCACTCCCATAAGGGAGTGCCAGTCTCCCCATCCAGCTTCCCGCTAATGCGCCTGGGAAGGCAGTGGTTGATGGCCCAAGACATGATACCCATGTAAAAAGCAGAGAGAGAGAGAGAGAGAGAGAGAGCACTAGCGCTTCTGTCCACTGGTTTACTCCCCAGATGCCCACAAATGCCCAGAGCTGCGGCCAGGACAAAGCCAGGAGCTGCGCATTCAATACGGTTCTCCCCCTGGATAGCAGGGCCCCGATTACTCGACCTATCACTTGCTGCCTCAAGGTATGCGATAGCAGGAAGCTAGAGAGAAGTGCAGCTGGGACTGGAACCTAGGACACAGACATGGGATGTGGGTGCCCCTAATGGCGACTTCATCACTGCACCAAGCGCCTGCCCCCTGCCTCTCCCTTTAGACTGTGAGATCCCCAAAGGGCAAGGGACCAGATCTGTGGCGAGTGCCTCTGTGTCCAGGGCAGGGTACCAGGCCTCAGCACCCGGGGGTCCTCCAAATGTGGGTGGTTCCTGCACCCAGCCCTGGCGCTGCAGGGACTGAGGGACCCTGGGAAAGCCTCTGCAGCCTGCTGTGTAGCGGATGGGGACAGGTGGAGGCCCCCCCCAGCATCAGGGCTCCCTGGTCCCGCCGACCCCCTCCAGGGGGTGCCTCCCCCCGGGGCCTCACACCTTGTAGAGCGCCAGGAAGATCAGTAGCAGCAGCAGCAGCCCCCCGACGCCGCTCAGCACGTACAGGTAGACCATCTCCTTCTCGAACACCACGTCCACCTTCATGAGGACCTGGGAGGGAGGGAAGAAGCCACCTGAGGGGGCCCGTGCCCTCACCCAGGCTCCGCCTCCTCTCACCTGTCTGGACTGTGTCCCTCCTTTGGGTCCCACGCTGCAGCCGCGTGGCCAGCATGCACCCTGGGCCCACCCTCCGTCTTCCAGGGCTCCCCAGCTCAGCGGCGCACACAAAGCCTCCCAGTCTCTGGCTCCCCCAGCCCAAGACTCCTCTTCCTCGCTTGTGCCCCGGCCTGCCAGCCTCACAGACTCCCACTTCTCACACCTGCCCTGCCCGCTCACAACCCTGGGCCTCTCCGCCCCCTCCGACTGCTGGGTTGGGAAGCTACCATTGACTCCTGCTTTGGGAGTTTTTATTTTTAAAGCAAGCTCCTATCTGCTGGTTCACTCCCTAAATGCCCACAACAGCCAGGGCAGGGCCAGCCCATAAGCCAGGAGCTGGGCACTCCATCCAAGTCTCCCACGTGGGTGACAGGGATCCAACTACTTGAGCCATCAGCTGCCTCTCAGGGTGAGCATTAGCAGCGAGCTGGAGTCAGGACGGGACAGGAACGGGGCACTGAACCCAGGTACTCCGGTGTGGGATGCGGGTGACCCAACTGCTCAGCTTGCGCCATCGTCTGACCACACACAGGCGGCCCTGACCGCCCCCCAGGGCTTCTCCTCGGCAGGTGCACTGGTCTGGCCCAGAGGAGGAGCTTCTGACTTGTGCTGAGCCCCACCCATCGCCCCTCTCGCTCTGCCCTGGGTGCCCCCCTCCCGCCCCCCATGTCCGCCTGTGGCCCATCTCCAGGGCTTCTGCGAAGGCCGAGGTACCTGGGCCACTGAGGAGTTACTGCCGTAGAGGTGGAAATGTTTGCTGCTGTTAAAGGAGATGGAGAGGGAGCTGCAGAGGTGCCACATGGAGGAAGCCTGCGGGGGCGGGGGGAGGACGGGGAGGCGTCAGGCCCCGGCAGGAAGGAGCAGAGGAGGGCGGGTCCCAGCTGGTGGGTGGGCCAAGCTTCCCCATACAGAGCCCCCAGGACCCACCCACAGGCCTCAGTAACAGCTGGGCAAATTCTAAACACAGCATGGCTCTCCGGGTAACTAACGGGGAAACCTTCAAGCTGGCAAAGGAAAACAGAGGGAAACTCCGCTGGGGGCAGTAGGGGTGGGGTGGGGTATGGGGTATGGGGGTGTCCTCCCCAAGGCCCTGGCACTCAGGCCCCCGTCCACATCCGTCAGCGTCAGGAGCAGGTGCTACCTCAATTTCGCCCACCAGCTCCACAGTCCCGAGCACTTCGACCAGCAGCTCCTGCTTGAAGATGAACGGGCAGCGAAACTGGGCTCTGGGGAGACAGGGCTGCCCGGGGCGGGGCGGCGGAAGGATCGCAGGCGATCAGAGAGGCTGTTCCGCCCCGCCCGCCCCGCGCCATCCTCGCCCCGCCCCGCCCCGCCCCAGTGCCCTCACCTGAGCCGCGCTGGGCACCCTCTTCAGATCCTCACGCTGGCAAGTGACAGGAGGCTCCTAGCAGAGGGTGTGTGTGTGTGTGCTGAGTTAGCAGTGGGGGACTTCCCCACTCTAGATAAGACCTCCCCACCAGGGCCCTGCCCCCATCAGCCCAGTCCCATGCCCAGCTCCGCCCTCTTTACCCTGGGGGAGCTTATCCACCAGACACCCCAGACCACTCCCTCCAAGCCCCACGCCCCACCCCCGGGCTGTGGTATCCCCGCCTTCTCTGGGCTGCACCCACCGTCTGCACAGACCACTTGTACGTAATGGGTTCCTCGCCGTGGGGCACCGGCACCCCGACCAGGGCCTCCAGTATGGGCATGCTGTGCTGGTGCAGGGAGGGCGGGACCCGCACCTGGGATGGAGACAGGGTCAGTGAGTGCATGGCCGGGATGCCACCCTGCCCGGAGCAGCCCCCGCCTCTCCCCGTCCTCACTGGCAGAGGCCCCGGGGATCTGCTCCCCGCGAGCTGGTGCGTGATGATGCGTGATGACGGACCACACCTGAGCCCTCCTCAATGGGAAAACCGCACCCTCCTGCTCCGCTGTCACCATTGAAGGTTTGGCTGGCTCCCCAAGGCCAGGGCAGCTTCCACCCTCCTATATCCACCCAGCATCTGCCTGCAGGACGGCCGGGGATCTGCCTGTGCCGCTGACTCTGGCCTTGACCGTAAACTTCCTGAGCAGGGGAGCTGCGGCTTCTGCCACCTCTAACTTCCCAGCCCATAATAGGCCCCAACAGCAATGCGCAAGTTGACACTTGAACAGGATGGATACAACGAGTATTCCTACAGAGCAGGCTGGGAAAGACTCACTTTGAAAACCGCACTGAATTAGGAGACGTCTCCAGATCACCTTTTTTTGTATAAAAAGAAATACAGAGGAAAGTGACGTAGGAGTGGCACCAAGGACATCTCAGACAAGCGGGCAGATCCATGTTCAATTAGAGGGTTTTACTGCTTATGCACCGCACAGACATTCGCGGGGGGCAACACACCAGTGAAATCCAAAAGGCCCAATATCAGCGGCAGCGTTTGAATTTAACCGTGAAAGATGATTTTAAAGAGAAATCTATATTTATTTGGGAGAAGGGGTGGGGGAGAGAGAGAGAGAGAATATGCCTCATCCTCTGGTTCATTCCCTACATGCCCAGAACAGCTGGAATTAGGTGAGGCGGAAGCCAAGATCCAGGAGCCCCATCTAGGTCTCCCGTGTGGGTGGCAGGGAGCCAAGGACTTGAGCCATCACTGCTGCCCCCCAGGGGGCGCACGAGCAGGAAGCTGAGCCAGGACTCCAGCCCAGGTTCTCCGACAAAGGCTCCTGGCATCTTACAGGTCACACCTTAACCACCACACCAAACACCTGCCCTACCCTTAATTTCTTTTTTTACAGACAGAGTTAGACAGTGAGAGAGAGAGAGAGAGAGAGAGAGAGAGAGAGAGAGAGAGAGAAAGGTCTTTTTCCGCTGGTTCACCCCCCAGATGGCTGCTACGGCCGGCGTGCTGCGCCGATTCGAAGCCAGGAGCCAGATGCTTCCTCTTGGTCTCCCATGCGGGTGCAGGGCCCAGCACTTGGGCCATCCTCCACTGCACTCCCGGGCCACAGCAGAGAGCTGGCCTGGAAGAGGGGCAACCAGGACAGAACTGGAGCCCCCAACCGGGACTAGAATCCGGGGTGCTGGCGCCACAGGCGGAGGATTAGCCAAGTGAGCCGCGGCGCCGGCCCCTACCCTTACCTTTTAATCCCATTTTTCCCATGGACTTTTTGAAGTACTCATAGACTACATATTATAGTTACCCACCAAAATAAAACAAAAATGCTCTGGGGTTTGGCCCAGTGGCTATACTGAAGCACCCAGGTCCAATGCTCAGCTCTGGCTCCTAATTCTGGCTTTCTGCTCTCTCCGGCAGTGAAGACGGCTCAAATAATTGGCTTCAGGGCTGCCTGCAGTGCCAGCATCCCATATGGCCGCTGGTTTGAGTCCCAGCAGCTCCACTTCCTATTCAGCTCTCTGCTGTGGCCTGAGAAAGCAGCAGAAGATGGCCCAAGTCCTTGGGCCCCTGCACCCATGTGGGAGACCCTGAGGAAGCTCCTGGCTCCTGGCTTCGATGGGCACAGCTCTGGCTGTTGCAGCCAATTGGAGAGTGAACCAGCGGATGGAAGACCTCTCTCTCTCTCTCTCTCTCTCTCTGCCTCTCCTTTTCTCTCTGCGTAACTCTGACTTTCAAATAAATAAATAAATCTTAAAAAAAGAAATATTGTCTAAAACAGGATGGCAATGCCTGGGGCTAGAAGGTCTTATGGACCAGCGTGAGAATGATGGGGCCAGCATGGGTAAGGCACAGGCATAGGACCCAGGTTTGCCGCCTGGGCAAACTGTCTGGTTTTATGGCTGGCACAGCACCTACCCAAGTACCTCAACTCCAACTTGGCTCATGATACGTTTGAGTAAGACCCTAGCCTCTGGGGCCGGCACTGTGGCACAGCTGGTAATGCTGCCGCCTGTAGCGCCGGCATCCCATATGGCCACTGGTTCCTGTCCCAGCTGCTCCACTTCCCATTCAGCTCCCTGCCAATGGCCTGGGAAAAGCAGCAGCAGATGGCCCAAGTGCTTGGGCCCCTGCCACTAATATAGGAGACCTGGAGGAAGCTCCTGGCTTTGGTCTGGCCCAGCCCTGGTCATCGTAGCCATTTGGGGAATGAACCAGTGGATGGAAGATCTCTCTCTCTCTCTCTCTCTGTCTCTCTCCCTCTCTCTGTAACTCTGCCTTTCAAATAAATAAGTAAATCTTTTTAAAAAATATTTATTTATTCATTTGAAAGGCAGAGTTACACAGAGAGAGGAGAGGCAGAGAGAGAGAGAGGTCTTCCATCCGCTGGTTCACTCTCCAACTGGCCTCAAGGGCCAGAGCTGGGCCGATCCAAAGCCAGGAGCCAGGAGCTTCTTCCGGGTCTCCCACGTGGGTGCAGGGGCCCAAGGGATAGGGCCATCTTCTGCTGTTTTCTCAGGCCACAGCTGGGACTGGATGGGAAGTGGAGCAGCTGGGACTCGAGCCGGCGCCCATATGGGATTCTGGCACTTCAGGCCAGGGCGTTAACCTGCTGCGCCATAGCGCCGGCCCATAAATAAGTAAATCTTAAAAAGACAAACAAACGAAAGACTCTAGGTTCTCTCTCTTGCACTCTTTGTCTTCAAGTTCTGTGCTTCTGTGGGCCCACAGGCGCTAGCGGCTGAGGTAGACACTGTGCACCTGTGCAGGACGACAGAGCCAGGTGGCAGCTGGGCCCGCGGAGGGTAAGGACACTGTCTCACTGGCACAGCATCCCTTGACCCCAGGCTGGGGCCGAATGCGCGTGGGATCCATGGGGACCCTTCTCCCGGGGGTTCATACCTGGTATGTGTGCTTGACATGACGGATCTTGGGGCCTTTGGGAGTGAAACTGACATAGAGCGTGGAGTTTTCCTGCCTGTGGAGGGAAGAGCAAAGATGGGAAGTAGATGAGGTGGCGACGTGGCCTCAGGCTGCCTCCGAGTTGCCGGGACTGTGCCAGGGACCACACGAGCACCATCTGAATCAATTCTTGCCAGGAACGGCCTGTTGTCTTCCTTGGGAAACGAAGGCTCCCCCAAAGGCGCCAGGGCTGGAGGTTAGGGCCTCAGGCCTCGGTCTCCCCACCGTGTGCCACCTCCCCAGGATCTCTATGCCTGCTGGGCCCTGCACAGGTGACCACACCAGTACTGGACTCCCTGCCCCATCCCTGTCTTTCCTGGCTCCAAATCCTCACCCAGGTCAGCCTGGTTGGCATTCATGTGCAGCGGCACTGGAGACGCAACCTCAGACCCTGGCCCTGTTCTTATCTCAGTGAGCCGGCTTGAAAAAGCACCTGTATATCTCTCATCTCCTTTTCTATAAATGAGAAAATCCAGGGGCTGGCACTGTGGCATAGAAGGTTAAGCCTCTGCCTGCAACGCCGGCATCCCAAATGGGCGCCGGTTCGAGTCCCACCTGCTCCACTTCTGATCCAGCTCTCTGCTAATGGCCTGGAAAAGCAGTAGAAGATGGCCCAAGTGCTTGGGCCCCTGCATCCATGTGGGAGACCTGGAAGAAGCTCCTGGCTTTGGATTGGCCCAGCCCTGGCCATTGTGGCCAATTGGGGAATGAACCAATGTATGCAAGATTGATTTCTCCCTCTCTCTCTAACGCTGCCTTTCAAATAAATAACTAAATCTTAGGCATGCGGTGCCGGCACCCCGGGTTCTAGTCCCGGTTGGGGTGCCGGTTCTGTCCTGGTTGCTCCTCTTCCAGTCTAGCTCTCTGCTGTGGCCCGGGAAGGCAGTGGAGGATGGCCCAGGTGCTTGGGCCCTGCACCCACATAGGAGACCAGGAGGAAGCACCTGGCTCCTGGCTTTGGATTGGCACAGCGCGCTGGCCGTAGCGGCCATTTGGGGGTGAACCAACGGAAGGAAGACTTTTCTCTCTCTCTCTAACTCTGACTGTCAAAAAAAAAAAAATCTTAGGAAAAAAAAGAGAAAATCCAAGTGCGGTGTCCGTGAGTCTTTCCCGCCACACATTCTGAGATCCACGAACTCTGCATGCAACACGGCCTCTGCAGCTGGCCAGTGTGAGCACGTCTCTCCCCTCTCTGCTGGCGCTCCTGCCCCCCGGGAGCCAGCGTCTGGTGCTCCAGGGTTCGCCTGGGGCTCTGGGGTCAGACAACGAACTTCAGGTCAGACCCAGTGGCTGTAGGTTTGGTTATTAGGAGAATGGAGAGAGGCTCACAGCCTCCCACGGAGACCCTGCACACTCCAGAGAGAGCCAGCAGCCACGCCGAGCAGCGTGGACCCAGGGCCAGCTCGCGATACGCTTTCTCTGCCCCGAAACGCTGACCTGGCTCGGAGCTGGCAAAGGGCTCCCTCTGGTTTCCTCTGTTGGAAACCGCTGGGGGACATGGCTGGAATCGGATCTGATCACCCTGTGTGGGCGGGTGAGTGGGGTTCTGGGAGAGGAAGGGGGCTTGGAAGGAGAGCCAGGGAGGCAGGGTGGGGCCCCGGGTGGGAGCAGGGGGCGGGGTTGGGGGACTCACTCCTCGATGAGGATGTTGATGGGGTACAGCACTGGGATGCTGGTTGTGGCCGAGTTATCCTCCAGGAGGCTCGAGTCCTCGTTGTGACTGCATTGGGGAGAGGAGGAGCCGGGTTGGGAGGAGGAGCAGGACCAGAGGGGTGGGCGGGGCCTGCCGGGCTGGCTCACCATTTCACTTGGGCGTGCAGCTCCACCAGGTCTTCCCAGGAGCTGTTGAGCAGCGTGTTGAACATTACCTGGATGACAACCTGGCAGGGGGACGAACCGGGCACGAGACTTGTCGGGGGAGGCGGTGGTGGTAGGGTAGCCCCTTCCCGGTCATCAGTCACCGGCTCCCTTCTGCAGACAGCCGAGCCCCCAGCCCCCTGGTGTACTCACCGAGCTGCCCGCTCTAAAGATGGGAGAGCTCACGTTGCAAGACAGGGTCTTGGTCAGGAGCTCGGGCTCCCCCGGGAGCTCCTCGCAGCTCACAGGTATCTGGCTGTGCGGCTGGCAGTGAGCAAAAAGCACAGGACATCACGGTGGGCAAGGCCAAGGGGCCGCCTCCCCCAGGGCTCTGTCCCTGTCAGGCTGTGTTCTGAGAGAGGCAGAGCCAAAGGGCCAGGGGCACAGACACAGGTTTAGGACCAAGACGGTAGCAGTGTGAAAACAGGAAGTGACCGAGCAGTGCAGAGATGGGAACGGTGCACCTGTTGTGGCATGAACCAAGCAGAGAATATTTCGAGATAGTTAAAATACTGTGGTCTCTACATGGGCAGCAACTGCTGTTTAAAAAGAATTTAGTTCATCTATTTGCAAGTCGAGAGAGAGAGAGAGAAAGAGAGAGAGCGCGCCCATCTGCTTGGCTCACTTGCCCCCACCCCAAATGCCTGCAATACTGGGGCTGGGCTGAAGTCAGCTGGAAACTCAACCCAGCTCTCTCACATGGGTAGCAGGGACCCAACTATTTGAGCCATCGCTGCTGCCTCCCAGGGTTACAAGGGTGAGAAGCTGGATTCTGGGAGTGGAGCTGGGACTCGAACCCTGGCAGTCCGATATGGAATGCGCACATCCCAACCAATGGCCTAACCTCAAGGTCATACACCTGCCTCGCAGCTGTTTTTTTTTTTTTTTCCTAAGAGCTTGGGGAAACGCATTGTGGCACAGTGGGTTAACCTGCCACTTGTGATGCCAGCATCCCATTTGGAGTCCCGGCTGCTCCACTTCCGGTCCAGCTCCCTGCTAATGCACCTGGGAAAGCAGCGGAAGATGGCCCAAGTCCTTGGGTCCCTGCACCCACGTGGGAGACCCGGATGGAGTTCCAGGTTCCTGGCTGCAGTCTTCCCCCAACCTGGCCGCTGCAGCCACTGGGCGTGAGCCAGTGGATGGGAAATCAGTCTTTGTGTGTGTGTGTGTGTGTGTGTGTGTGTATCTGTCTGTAATGCCTCCTTTCAAAGAAATAATAAATAAATCTTTAAAATTGTTTATATTTAAAACAATGGTGGCAGACAGGCGTTTGGTGCAATGGTTAAGTCGGCACTTGGGATGTCTGCTTCTCTCACTGAGGGGGCCTAGTTTGAGTCCTGCAACTCCATTTCTGATTCAACTTCCTGCTAATGTGCACCCTGGAAAGCAGTAGTGATGGCTCAAGTCCTCGGGGGCCTCCAACCAATGTGGGAGACATGGATGGAGTTCCCAGCTCTTGGGTCAGACTGGCCCAGCCCTAGCTGTTGCAGTCATCTGGGGAGTGAACCAGCAAATGGACAATCTCTCTCTGCCTTTCAAGTAAAATGAAAATAACTTAATAAAAGTTTTAAAAGTTCCAGGGGCTGGAGATGTGGTGTAGCGGGTAAAGCTGCCGTCTGCAGTGCTGGTATCCCATATGGGTGCCGGTTTGAGTCCCGGCTGCTCCTGTTCCAATCCAGCTCTCTGCTGTGGCCTGGAAAAGCAGTGGAGGATGACCCAAGTCCTTGGGCCCCTGCACCCGCATGGGAGACCAGGAGGAAGCACCTGGCTCCTGGCTTAGGATCAGTGAAGCTCTGGCCATCGCTGCCATCTGGGGAGTGAACCAGCGGTTGGAAGACCTCTCTCTCTCTCTCTCTGCCTCTTCTTCTCTCTATGTGTAACTCTGCCTTTCAAATTAATAAATCTTAAAAAAAAATTCCAGGGAAAAATAAATAAATGGAACAACTGAGGTCATCTTTGAAAAAACAGTTTGGTTACCTCTAGGCAGGCAGCGAATGGATCTTGGTGAACCAAGTGCATTTTTAAAAAATGATTTATTTATTTGTTTATTTAATAAATGTGCTGCCTCCCAGGCACATTAGCAGGGAGCTGGATGGGAAGTGGAGCAGCTGGGACTGGAATCAGCGCTGCAGTATGGGAGCTGGGAGTCCCAAGTGGTGGCTTAAGCTGCTGCACCACAAGCCCCACCCTCACCAAGTGCATCCTGTTGACCAAGTACACCTGGGGACAGGTTTACACAACCCTCGTCATGCGGCCCTCGGACTAGCCCTGCGGCTGCCTCCAGCCTCATTATTGATTGTGGAACCCAAGGCTCAAAGAAGAGTAAAACTTGTCCCCCAGATCACGTGGGAACCGGCTCTGACCCCAGGCCCCACCCCCACCCCGCAGGTGCACAGCAGCTGCTGCCGCCCACGCATGCGCGCTAGGCTGTGCACGCTGCCGGGGCTCAGAGCGAGCAGGCGGCAGAGGCGGAGGTGGCAGCCGCTCTCTCTCGGGTCGCAGCTCAGGCTCACCTGGAGCGCCTCCACCTTGCGGAAGGAAAGCCCCTGGGGGAAGCGCAGGTCCAGCTGCACCCAGTACGCATCCTCTCCGGGGTTCCTCAGGGTCAGCTCCACCGAGAGGCTGGCCGAGGGCGTCAGGCGCAGGACGCTGGACCTGGTGGGGAGACCAGGGAAGAGTTACCGGGCTGGCGATGGAGGACGCTGGCTCCCGCCCATCCTGCCGGGGCTCCAGGGGACTCATGTTTCCCTGACAAGGCCACCAAGGCCCAGGGAGGGAGGTGGCGGCCCCAGGGGACCTATCTGGCCAGGGCCAGGGAAGCGGCTTTGGACCCAGAAGATCACCATCTTTGCAGCACGCTGGGGGCTGCCCAGGACAACAGCGCGGAGCAGGTGGCCGGGGTCGGCCTCACAGACCTGGCGGTGGAGAAGGACAGCCCCAGGTTGGCCTCGCATTTCTTATCCTCCCCGCAGTTCTTCTCAAAAGGGATCTGAAAGACCACGCAGCACAGATGAGGAGCCGCAGGCCCCAGGCCCCGCCCCGCCCAGGCCCCCCAGACCCCGCCCCTCTTACCTCCTTGGTCTCTGAGTGCGGCAAGGGTCTCAGGATGGGCTGCCTGTCCTTGCCCTGCAGTGCACAGAGAGGGTGACGGCGGGTGTGGAGGGGGTAGGTAACACAGAAGAGGGCTGCGGGGTGGGGGTGGGGGGCTTGGGGCTCGGCTGGGCTACCTCCTTCTGCCGCAGCCACAGCCTTGTACCGAGACCCTCTCTGTGGGGGCAGCTCCTCAGTGTCAGGCCAGCTCAGGATGCCCCAGCCCCTGCCCTGGACAGGAGATCAGGGCTGCAACAAAGCAGTTCAGGGTTTCACCCCGGCAGGGCACCTGGCTGCGCAGCCGCGGGCTCACCTGCTGGTGGCCCCGGGTCTTCCCCGTGGCGCTCCTCCGTGCACCCCAGCGCCCCGGCTCTGGCCAGATCAAGGCCAAGGCTTTCCACACCTTTACTTGGGGCCAGGCCCCACGCTGGGCCGCTGGGTGTACACCAGAGAACAAGATGGACCCTCTGCCTCCCTCCCACTCCCCCATCTGTGGTGGGAGGAATGACCCGGCATTCCCGACATTCCCAACCGAGTGGGCCACGGGTGGGCACTTCACGGGACAATTACAGGGCACACCAGGACTCCTACCCCAGGCGTGGGGGTCAGGGGAGCTTCCAGAGGGAATGGCGCCCCCCTGAAGTCTAACCGGGGAGCAGGAGTGCATATGAAGGGCCAGAGGCGGGAGCAAGGACGTGTCTCTCCGATTCCACCGAGGCCATGTTTGGGGTTGGACTTTTACGCTGAGGCTATAAAGGGGCCCTGGAGGATTTTGGAGCTGATCCGCGGCACCTTCTAGAAAGACTCCAGCCTCCTCCTCCCCCTCCAGGCCGCCTCCCGGGCAGCCTGCAGACTCTTCCTTGAAGGTCTGGGGTCCTCACTGCTTTGCTTGCCACCGGCTCTGACCCAGAGGGTCCCCAGCAGCCAGGGCCCCACAGCCCGGGCCCGGGCCTCAGGCTCGCTCAGCCGTCTTTCTGCCGGAAGCTAAGCCCCTCTTCCCAGCTCCCTTGAACTTGACACTGATATGGAGAACCAAGGCAGGGAGTTGGCCAGAAATAGGTGAGCTGGGATTTTTGCCAGTCCTGCATGGTAACCTTATCCCTTCACCTGTCAATCTAATTATGCCCACTTTCCCAGGATGCACCTGTGTCTTATCTGGGTCCAGGACCGAGGAGAAGCCACTATGTCACGTGGAAGTTAAACTCCATGTGGAGGTGCCATAAAAATCCCAGAATGCTTCAGGTAGGCTAAGACCCAACCCCATTTGTTTACCCAATGCAGGCACTGCCCCTACAGACTGATAATGGGGGCGGGGCTCTCTTTTGCCTTTGACCAGGCTCTCGCTGGCCACCCCCGCCTCCAGCCAAGTCTCTGGCCCACTCAGGATGGCTGTCTCTCCATGGGGGGCGGCCCCCCACTCACACATGAATGTGTGTTTTCTCTCTCTCTGTTAAGCAAACCCTGGCACTGTATGAACCTGGAGTAACAATTCAGACACCCTGGGGCCCCCACACCCTGCCAGCTTCCCTCCACCTCACTGAAGCCTGTTCATGTTGTAAGAACCAACGGCCTTTCCCCCAGAAACCATTTTTTTAACAGAGGATGGAGAGCAAGGGGACAGAGGGGAGCCCAGGCGTTGGTCTCCAGCAGGGGGTAAGCAAACTGTGGCTGGAAGGTCAAATCCAGTCCCCCAGTTCTGTAGAGAAGATGCCCCTGGCCACACCCACCACTGCCCTCCTGCGCAGGGCTGCTTTGCCTGCCCCAGGGAGCCGAGCAGTTAGAGCAGAAATTGTGTGGCCTGCAAAGCCCAAGACGCTTAGCGTTTGGCCTCTTCCAGGAAGTCTGCCGGCCCCTGATCTACACTCACACAGCCACCACTGCCGCTCCAGCCTGCAGCCGCTGCCTCGACTCTGTCCGTGTGCAGCTGAGTTGATCCCACGGGGCCAACCTCACCCTTGCCTAGAATGGACCCAGTTGCCCCCCTGGGAGGGTGACTCCCAGCCTCCACCACCACCCCCACTGCACCCAACAGCTCCCCTTCACTGCACAGCTGTGTCGCCTCCTGGGCTCCCTGTCTCGTGGTGGCAACATTGGCCCAGAAATGGGCGCCATCATCTGCCTCTTCCGTCTCTCTCTGAGGTCGTCCCCCTCTCCCTGCCCACAGCCCTGGTCCTAGTTCAGGCCTTGGGCCGCCCCTCAAGGCGATTGACAAAACAAGCCTCCATCCCTCCAGGAGCCCCTCCTTGCAACCCAGCTTTCTTGTGGGGGCAGGAACCGGCCGCCTGCAGCACCTCTGTGGCCATGGAGACGGCCACCCCACCTTCCCCCGACTCTCCCGCCTGGTGGTCCCACGCCAAGGCCTCGGTTGTCCCCACGTAGCCATGCGTCGGGTGCGTGTTGGACCCAAGCCTGCAGGAGTATGACCGAGGGCCAGCACGAACAGAAAAGGAAGCTCTCTCCTTTCTACTTGGGGTTGCCATGGGGTGAAGGCGATGCCTGATGGTGACACCAGCGCGGGGATAGTCAGCCATGCTAGGAAGTCAGGCTCCTGGTGGCCTTGTTGGCTACCTGGATACAGACATGTGTGACACCAGGATCATCCCCAGCCTGTGCAGAATCAATAGATGGATTCCTTTCTTAATTAAGGCAGATGTGGATTGAGTTTCTGACACTTGCAACCCCCCCCCCCAAAAAAAAATTCCCATGTATACATAACGTTCTCCTTCCTCTGCACGCATGCCTTTAGGGGCTCCCCAGCATCCTCAGGGAGAAAGGCCAATTCCCCGGGGCCATCTGGAAGGGGCGTGCGGGCCAGCTGACCCTCCTGCCCTGTGCTCCCTCCTGCCATGGCCTCTGCAGTCCGCGTGTCTGGCTTCCTTCTGAATGCCCGCCTCCCCCTCCCCCAGGTTCCCTCTGCGGGAAAGCTTTGCAGATCCCTCTGAATCTCTGGCGTGGACCCTGGCTGCCCCGGGAAGCTGGCTTCCCCAAGAGGGGACCCTGAGCGCCGTAAGGGCAGGGGCCGTACTTATTTATCTCCCTCAGCACGGAGCAGGAGCACGTGCAACTTTGCTCAGGTGCCGCGATGAGCTCCAGGGATCTGGGCTTTATTTTTAGGAGTCATCGCCGTTACCTCCAAATCTCGCGAGAGTGCGGGGCTGGCGGGGACACCCTCCGTGCAGCCGGAAGCCACAGGAAAAGTAGCCGCCACGGTGCAGGAGCGAGAGGTGTTCAGTTCTGAAAGAGGCCTGGGAGTGCAGGGACTTGTCTAACAGACGGGGGAGCGGTGCTGCAGAGGGCTGGAAGCTGCCGGTCTTGGTTCTGCCCACCAGGCCTGGTCACCCCCAGGGAGTATCCCGGGTGTCAGACAAGGATATCAGGCGGTTGGTTTGGGTGGGGAGTGTGTGATCCGGGAGACTAGGGGCAGACATTGTTTCTCCCCTTTTACAGGGCAGTAGCACCCCAATGCGGTTCTGAGGGAGCCCCCTGCCCCTATTGAATACCCATGAGCTAATGTAGATGGGCTGTCCCTCCACCCGGGCCCGGCCTGCGCCTCAAGCCTCTGATGTTCCCTGCCTGGAGTTTGCCTCTTGAGCGGTGTCAGAAGCCTGATGAGGTCAGGAACCTCTGTCCAGCAGGGACCACAGCAGATGCACTGAGCGAGAAGAGCCCACCCACTCCTGTCGTCTCTTGGGGACCCCCAGAGCCACCACCCTGGCTCCCCTTCCTTCCACACATGGTTTTCAAATTTCTTGCAAGTGCAGACTTTCATAAACGCTGGTCCTGCTTAAGGAAGCCATGTTTGGTTTCTGTTGTTTAGGACCAAAGACCGGTGTATTTCATAGTCACTTCCACTTTTCCCCATCGGCCCCCCAGCCAATCTGTTCTTACCATCCTTTGGTCCCTGGATGTCCCGTCTTCCTCCCAAAGAGAGAAGTTCAAGGAGACATTGATGGGGGAGATGAGGTCTTGGATGCATACCTGGGGGTGACAAGAGCATAATTTACAAGTCTAATCTCTGCTACAGTCCAGATTAAGTGCGTATCTTGTCTGCATTTTACAAGTGATGTAATTCTAGTAGTTACTTGGCTTAGACTTTGCCAGTACTGAACATGTTTTACAGCTAACAAGTACATGAAAATATATTTCCCTCAGCAGGGTATTCACGTGTTTCTCAGCACAAGGATCATGCCTCAGTCCCAGTTCCAAGGCAGACATCGCTAATCAATCACAGCACTTTTGCCCAATGAGTTCTAGTGGATGCCCACGAATCTTTGTCAAACTGCACTAGGCAGCCATCATCAAAATTTGCTAGAATATTCTAGCATAACTAGACTAACCTAACTCCAGAATATTAGTTTCTTTTAAAAAAGATTTATTTATTTACTGAAAAGGCAGAGTGACAGAGAGAGAGAGAGAGATATTTCCATCTGCTGGTTCACTCCCCAAATGGCTGCAACAGCCAGAGCTGGGGCAGGCTGAAGCCAAGAACCTGGAACTCTATCTATAGAGTCTCCCACGTGGGTGGCAGGGACCCAAGTATGTGGGCCACCATCCACTACTTCCCCAGGTGCATTAGCAGGGAGCTGGTTCAGAAGCAGAGCAGCCAGGACTCGAACTGGAGCCCAGCAGGAGATGTGGGTGTTGTAAGTGGAGGCTTAACCGCCTGCACCACACTGCTTGCCGGGAACAGGAAGGGTTCTTGGCCTTTTGTTACTGGTGGAGCCTGGCAGTGGCCCCTTGCAGACACTTAACCCTAAGAGGCAGGCATGATCACCCTCGCATTCACGATGAGAGAGAGGCCCAAAAGACGACACAGACATCCTACTGTCTGAACCTTGGAGTATCAAAGGCAAGAGCTGAGGCCAAACGTTCACATTCCCAACCCAAGGGCTTCCCACCAGGCCACACTGCCACCTTCGTGGCAGTGTTTAAAATGTCCAGCTCTTGTAAGGGTGGGGGTGAGGAGCTGAGGGATAGGAACTGGGGGTGGGAACAGGACCAGCCGTGATTCTATCCTTGTTCAAACTGTGTGATGAGCATCAGCTGGTTCATTAAACTTCTTTTTCTACTTTTATAAGCTTGACGTTCCTCATAGTAAAAACATTTAAAACAAACTCCAAAGACCATAGCAGGGAGCTGGATTGGAAGAGGAGCAGCGGGGACTAGAACCGGTGCCCATATGGGATGCTGGCACTGCAGGCCAGGTCTTTAACCCGCTGTGCCACAGCACCGGCCCACAAGCTCCAAAGTTTTCCACCCTGTTCTTATAGCCAGCTTTTTGTGAAAAATTTAAGAGGCAAATGTTTGGTTCAGTGGCTGGGACTCCTGCATCCCATATGGGAGTGCCTGGGTTCGAGTCCCCATTCTGCTTCTGATTCAATTTCCTGCTGGTGTGCACCCTAGGAAGGCAGTGGATGACTCAGCGGCTTGGGTCCCCACCATCCCATGTGGGAGACCTGGATGGAGTTCCTGGCTCCTGGCTTCAGCCTGGCCCAGCTCTGGTTGTTGCAAGCATCTGGGGAGTGAACAAGCAGATGAAAGATCTGTGTGTGTGTGTGTGTGTGTGTGTCTTCCTGTTTCTATTTTTTCAAATAAAAACAAATAAGTTTAAAAAAAGAAAATGGGCAGGTGCTGTGGCATAGCAGATAAAGCTGCCGCCTAAGGCACCAGCATCCCATATAAATAAATAAATCTTATAAAAAATAGAAAATGGGGGGCCAGCGCTGTGGCGTAGCAGGTAAAGCTGGTGCCTGCAGTGCCGGCATCCCGTATGGGCACTGGTTTGAGTCCCGGCTGCTCTACTTCCTATTCAGCTCTCTGCTATGGCCTGGGAAAGCAGTAGTAGAAGGCCCAAGTGCTTGGGCCCCTGCACCCATGTGGGAGACCCGGAAGAAGCTCCTGCCTCCTGGCTTCGGATCGGCACAGCTCCGGCCGTTGTGGCCAACTGGGGAGTGAACCAGCAGATGGAAGACCTCTCTCTCTCTCTCTGCCTCTCCTTCTCTGTGTAACTCTGACTTTCAAGTTAAATAAATAAAATAGAAAATGGAAAAATTATACCTCTGAATAAATGATCATTTAAAAATAAATATTTTAGAGACCATAAGAATGGGATTTCAGTCTCATTTTTAAAAGATTTATTTATTTATTTATTTGAAAGTCAGAACTAGAGAGAGAGAGAGAGAGACAGACAGACAGACAGACAGAGATATACAGGTTCACTCCCCAAATGACTGCAATGGCCAGGGCTGGACCAGACCAAAGCCAGGAGCCAGGAGCTTCATCCAGGTCTCTCACATGGGTGCAGGGGCCCAAGCATTCGGGCCACCTTCTGCTGCCCTCCCAGGCACATCAGCAGGGAGCTGGAACTGAAGTGGAGCAGCCGGGACTTGAACTGGTGCCACATGGGATGTTGGCATTTCAGGTGGTGGCTTGACCCACTGTGACACAACGCCGGCCCCCTTCTGTCCCATTTGTATACAGGATTGCTATAGTCAAACCAAATCTGGGTATTTCAGCAGTTTAACATTAAAAAAAAAGTCTCAGGGGAGGGCATTTAGTGCAGCAATTAAGACTCCACTAGGGACACCTGCGTCCAACATCAGAGAGCTGGGTTCAAGTCCCGGCTCCGGTTCCAATTCCAGCCCCTACTTAAATGAACCCTAGGAGGCAGCAGTGATGGCTCAAGTCTTTGGGTCCCTGTCACTCACAAGGGGGACCTGGATGAAGTTCCAGGCTCCTGGCTTTGGCCTGGCCCAGCCTTGGCTGTTACAAATACTTGGAGAGTGACCCAGAGAATGGAAAATAGATATATTCTCTCTCTCTCTCTCTCTCTCTCTCTTTTTCTGCCTCTCCTAGAAGTAAGTTTTTAAAAATTCCTCTTTGTTTATTTTTTATTTTATTTGAAAGGCAGAGAGAGGCAGAGACAAAAAAAAACAGACAGAGATGGGCAGAGAGAAATCTTGTATATGCTGGTTCATTTCTCAAATGCCTGCAATAGCTAGGGCTGGGCCAGGCCAAAGCCAGGAGCCTGGAACTCAATCCAGGTCTCTCACCTGGGTGACACGGACTGAAGTACTTGAGCCATCATCTTCTGCCTCCCATGGTGCATTAGCAGGAAGCTGGGTTGTCAGTGGAGCCAGGACTGGAGCCCAATCACTCTAATATGGGACATGGGCACCCCATGTGGTGTCTTAACCACTGAGCCAAACTTCCACCACAAACAAGGAGTTTTTAAAAATAATAACGGAGCCGGCGCCGCGGCTCACTAGGCTAATCCTCCGCCTAGCGGCGCCGGCACACCGGGTTCTAGTCCCGGTCGGGGCGCCGGATTCTGTCCCGGTTGCCCCTCTTCCAGGCCAGCCCTCTGCTGTGGCCAGGGAGTGCAGTGGAGGATGGCCCAGGTGCTTGGGCCCTGCACCCCATGGGAGACCAGGAAAAGCACCTGGCTCCTGGCTCCTGCCATCGGATCAGCGCGGTGCGCCGGCCGCAGCGCGCCGGCCGCGGCGGCCATTGGAGGGTGAACCAATGGCAAAGGAAGACCTTCTCTCTGTGTCGCCTCTTCTTTCCGCTGTCCTCGCCCCCGTCTCCCCAACCAAACAAAAAAAACAAAAAAAAAAAAAAAATAATAACGGGGGCCAGCGCTGTGGCATAGCGGGTAAAGCCACCGCCTGCAGTGCTGGCATCCCATATGGGTGCCGGTTTGAGTCCCAGCTGCTCCACTTCCCATCCAGCTCTCTGCTATGGCCTGGGAAAGCAGCAGCAGATGGCCCAAGCCCTTGGGCCCCTGCACCTGCCTAGGAGACCCAGAAGAAGCTCCTGGCTCCTGGCTTCGGATGGGTGCAGCTCCGTCCTTTGTGGCCAATTGGGGAGTGAAGCAGCAGATGAAGACCTCTCTCTGCCTCTCTGTCTCTCTCTGTGTAACTCTGACTTTCAAATAAATAAATAAATTTTTAAAAAAATCTAGGAGGAAATAGGCTAAGGGAGTGATTACTACCATTGCTCAGCAGAGGAAATGGTAGTGCAGCAGTCACAGCCTCTGGCACCCGCTGGCCAGTGACAGGGCCGGGCCTGCACCTGCTGCTACCCCCTGCTGCGGCTAGCTCGCCCGCCCCTTCCAGAGCATCAGCGCTGGCTCCCTCACCGGAAAGTGAAACCAGAAGTCAGTGCAGGACTGGACTTGTGTGACAGTTGTGTTTCCGCTGAGCTCATGTCTCCCTCCTGGGAACAGCCCCCGGCTCCTGGTCCGATGGCCATCCAACTGCAGGGTGTACATGAGGTTGGCCACCAGAGGACCTGGGCAGTGAGAGAGGCAGGCGTTGAATGGCGGGGACGCGGGACCGGGGCAGGTGGCTGCTCTTGTTGGGGGGGGGCAGCAGGACAGCACTGACCTTGGAAGTGAGAGGTGAGGGACTTGACCTGGAAACAGACTGTGATGTTAACGCCTTCCTTCTTCTTGTGATTGGCTGAGTAGGAGCATTCCACCTCGTGCACCGGGATCTCGGGCGGGGAGAAGCGCATCAGGGTGATGATATCCACCACGGGCCGGGAGCTGCAGGGTGGAAAACAACCCAGTGTCCCCCTGGCTCAGCCGCACACCCCTCGTCAGACCTGGGGCTCCGTCTGAGGGTCTGGGGTCCCTCTTCCCTCAAGCAGACCGCAGCATCCCAGGCTTCTCTCAATGATGATATTCAGCTAGGGCTCCCCAGTTCACTCCAGCACCTCCTGATCTAGTTTCCATTAAGATGCATGAGCTTTTTAAAGCAGGCGCTGTGGTGTCGTGGATTAAGCCAGTGCCTGCAGTGCCAGCAGCCCCTATGGGCACCTGGGTTGAGTCTTAGCTGCTCCACTTCCAACCCTGTTCCCTGCTAATGCACCTGGGGAAGCAGCGGAAGATGGTCCAAGTGCTTGGGCCTCTGTACCCACGTGAGAGACCTGGAGGAAGCTCCTGGCTCCTGGCTTTGACCCAATCCTGGCTGTTGCAGCCATTTGGGAAGTAAACCAGTAGATGAAATCCATTCTCTCTCTCTCTCTCTCTCTCTCTCTCTCTCTCTCTCTCTCTCTCTCCCACCCTGTTATTCTGCCTTTCAAATAAATAAAACTTTTAAAGAAAAGATATGTGAGCTTTTAGAACCAGAAATCATTGGGCTACTTCCATGCTTATAACCTTTCAAGGATGCTACATGATTTTTAGAATAAAATCCAAGCTCTTTATTATCCATGCTGGGTTGCAGGTTGCCAGTTCTTCAGTCTTCCTACCACATTCCAGCCATGCTGGCCTTATTTTGTGTTAAACTTTTTTTAAAAAGATTTATTTATTTATTTGAAAGTCCGAGGTACACAGAGAGAGGAGAGGCAGAGAGAGGTCTTCCATCTAATGGTTCACTCCCCAGTTGGCCGCAACGGCAGGAGCTGGGCTGATCCAAAGCTAGGAGCTTCTTCCAGGTCTCCCACGTGGGTACAGGGGCCCAAGGACTTGGGCCATCCTCTACTGCTTTCCCAGGCCACAGCAGAGAGCTGGATCAGAAGAGGAGCAGTCAGGACTAGAACCGGCGCCCATATGGGATGCTGGCGCTTGAGGCCAGAGCGTTAACCCACTGTGCTGGCCCCTCGCTCTCATCTTTCAAGCCCCAGCTCACAGCCCTCTCCTGCAGAGGCCCTTCTTGGCTGGTCTACCCCATGGCAGGTCTCTGCCTTCACAGCACTCACCAGTTTGCACTTGGGCTCCTGCACCTGCGTGGGAAACGCCTGGCCCAGCCCTGGCCAGTGTGGGTATTTGGGGAATGAACCAGCAGACTGAAGATCTCTCTCCTTCCCTTCTCCTCTCCCTCCCTCTCTCCCCCACCCCATCCTGCTTTTCAAAAAATTCACAGAAAAAAAGACATAAAACCTCTCTAAGAAGAGGAGCTGCCTCGCAGGGTCACAGGGTCGGGACACAGCTGGGCGGGCGCCCAGCTCCCACGGGCAGGATCAGGGCTGCGCTAACGGGACGTGCAGGCGCCCCCTCTCACCTGAGCACCAACACCTGGCCCTCGGCCCCCACAGCCACATCGGCCAGGCCGTCGCCTCCGAGGTCTTTCACCCCGTGGATGGAGCGTCCGAACCACCGAATTCCTGAGAACACCTTGGTCCCGTCTATGCGCTGGGGAGGAACAGAGAGGCGGGAGGGAGGGACCGGTCAGGTGGGGGCTGGGCTCCGAGGCTTCCAGGTGCCTGGGGGCGGGGCTTGATTGGCAGCTGGGGCACCTCACCTGACTGGGCTGCGGGCTGAGCCCACCCTGCTGCCCACTGAAGATGTACACAGCCCCCTGCCCCTCCAGGGGGGCTCCCACGGCCACGTCCGTCAGCGCGTCTCCGTTGAGGTCCGCCAGGGCGGTAATGGCTGCTCCAAACCGCCCAAGTGGGTAGCCGGGATCTCCGTGCAGCTCTGAGACCATCTCGAACCCCAGCTGGGAAGGTGCAGGGAGACGGGTCCCACCTTGCACCCTCAGCAGGCGTCTCCCGGAACCAGACGGGCCCCTCGGGCTAACCTCCGTGTGCCCAGTGTGACCTGGCGGTCTGGGAAGGGCTGAGCCCGTGGGTCCTCAGGAAGTGCCTGGGAGGCCGCTCGGCCTGGGCCTCCCCCAGCTCGCACCAGCTGGCGTCCAGCTGTGCTCAATGCTTGCTTGCTCGCCGCGGGACCGGGACTCCTTCTCCCTCCGCCCTCGCCCTCCGCTCGGGGCCCTGGGTCCCACCTGCTTCCTCTGGTAGAGGAACACGCGGCCTCCTCTCTGCTCCCCGTAGAAGAGCGGGGCCCCCACCAGCAGCAGCTCTGTCTCCCCGTCTTGGTCCGTGTCAATGCCACAGAGCTCCCCACCAAAATAAGAGCCGATCTATAGAGAGAGGAAGATGTTTGAGGGAGAGGCGCGGGACAGCAAGGTTGGGAGGACACCTGCCCCTTCCTGGCAGCCCTCAAGTCCAGGTTCAAGTCCTGCCTCCACCCTTGCAGCCTGCACGAATCAGGCAAGGTGGGCTGTTCGAGGGTGGGTTGCTTAAGCTGGAGAGTGGAGAGGACAGGGGTGACCCCAGAAGGTTCCACACAAAGCAATGAGAGACAATGGTGTTTGGCAGGGGCCGGTGGGTGTTCCAAGGACACAGGGGCGTGGCTCCTGTCCTGCAGGTGCGCCCCCACCCCTGCGCCGCCGTGCTCACCTGGGTCCCGTCTATTTTCTGGACCTGGCTCCAGGGTCCTCCACCCTCTTGCTTTTGAAAGAGCAGCACCTGCCCCACATGCTGGTATCGGGGGGCTCCAGCCGCCAGCAGCGATGTGTGTCCCTGGGAGGGCAGCCAGGTCACTGTGTAACCTGAGGGGATGGAGAGAGTGGGCCTCTGAGTCGGAAGCACAAGGGTGGACTGTGTGTTACTGATGGTAACAGCGGGGAGAGCAGCGGGGCTGGGAAGCTGGGTTAGCAGTGAGGATGCATGGGGCAGCTTGCCACCTGCTCCCAGACAGGCAGCCACGTGCTCTGAGCAGCGCAGACCCTGCCTTCCCGGCCCCCTGGCTGCACTGCTCAGATGTGGACCCCTCGCACACCAACCACAGCACTCACAGGGCACCATCCTGAAGCTCAACCCTCATGAGGATTGCTGAGAGATCCTCCATCTGCTGGTTCCCTCCCCAGATGCCTCCAAAAGCTGGGGCTGAGCCAGGCTGAAGCCGGGAGTCCAGGACTCGATCCAGGACTCCCATGGAGGTGCATGGACCCAAGGACTTGAGCTGCTGCCTCCCAGGGTGTGCATTAGCAGAGAGCGGACTAGCAGGGGCTGGCGCTGTAGTGTAGTAGGCTAAGCGGCGCTGGCATCCCACATGGGCACCAGTTCGAGTCCTGGCTGCTCCTCTTTCAATCCAGTTCTCTGCTGTGGCCTGGGAAGGCAGTGGAGGATGGCCCAAGTGCTTGGGCCCTGCACCCGCATGGGAGACCAGGAGGAAGCACCTGGCTCCTGGCTTTGGATCAGCACGGTGCACCGGCCGCAGCGCGCCAGCCGTGGCGGCCATTGGAGGGTGAACCAACGGCAAAAGGAAGACCTTTCTCTCTCTCTCTCTCTCTCTCTCTCTCTCTCACTATCCATTCTGCCTGTCAAAAAAATATCCTGCCTCCACCTGGTTTCCAGCTTCCTACTCACCAGCACCCTGGGATGCAGGCAGCCGGAGGCTTAAGTAGATGAGTCCCTGCACCTGTGAGAGAGACCTGGCGGGAGTTCTGGCCTCCCAACTCTGGTCTGGCCCAGCGCCAGCTGTCATGGGCGTTTGGAGGGTCAGCCGGCAGACAGGATGTCTTTGTGTCTCTCTGCTTTTTAAATGGAGAAAATAGAAAATGGGTAGCCTGGCAGTTAGGCTGCCCAGGTCCCACTCCCATAGCAGAGTGCTCGGGTTTGATATTCAGCTCGGACTCCTGACTTTGTTGCTTTTCAATGCAGACTCTGGGGGGCCAGTGGTCCCGTGGTTGGGTTCCTGCTGTTCATACGGGAGACTTGGATTAGTGTCTGGATCCCTGCTTCAGCGTGGGCTAGCCCTGGGCATTGTGGGCATCTGGTGAGTGAACCAGAGGATGGGAGGTTTCTCTCTCTCTCTCTCTCTCTCTCTCTCTCTCTCTCTGTCCCAGACTCCTGCAGTGAGATCATACCCTGAGTATGTGACCATGAACTAGACAGCTACAACCTCAGTGTACAAGGATGAGCCCCCTGCACCCAAGAATGGCATCAGCTGCAATGGGAAAGCATCCACAGTTGCACAGGCCGAGTCTCCAACAGTGCCCCCATGTGGCAGAGAGAAGCAACAGCAACAGAAGGTTGACCAGACTCTCCCTCCATTGTGCACCTGCAGGGCCCGCCTCCCATATGAGCACCGGTTTGAGTCCCGGCTGCTCCACTTCCCATCCAGCTCCCTGCTAATCTATATGGAAAACCATCAGAAGATGGCCTGCGTGCCACTTGCACGAGAGACCCGGATGGAATTCCAAGCTCTTGGCTTCGGTCATTGTGGCCATCTGGGGAATGAACCAGCAGATGGAAGATCTCTTTCTCTGTCTCTCTCTCCCTCTCTCTGTGTGTCTGCCTCTCAGATAAATACACATATCTGCTTTTTAAAGAGTTATCCAGCCACCAAAAACATCTATATACCTGGGGTTTATTTATAGAGGGGGCTGAGTGGTGACAGAGAGGCCACTGTCATTGAAAGCAGGGTATTAGTCACTTTCCCAGCAGCAGGAGGCATGGCATCCCACGCAGGGCCAGGTGGGGAAGCCCCGGGGCAGCGAAGAAGCAGAAGGAGCCAGGGGTGCGTTGGGCGCGCGCTTTTATGTGGGTCCGTGGGCCGGACGTGGAGGTAAGGCGGGCAAGTCTGAGCAAGCTTAGGATTGGGTGGTTTGAATCATTGTGGCTACAGCAGAGGCTTTCAACTGGCTGGAACCTGACCCTGGGGTGACATCGGGCAGAGGGGAATGTCGGCCTGCTGTGCAAGTCAGAAGAGGGAGGCGGTTGGCCTGGGGCTCTGGGCTGGCTGCCGCGCACAGGAAGGCTGCTAGAAACATAGGTGCTAAGTTTGTTCATGTGGGTTGCTTAATTGTCTTCATTATTGCTTTGAAAGCCAGCCCCAGCTACTGTCTGGTTCCAAAAAGCCAGAAGACCCCAGAGGAAAACAGCAATCTCACCCAAATATCCTGATTTTGCTTCTGGGGTCAGAGGTGCATTGCCAACAAACGTAGCATCCTGGAAGTCTTCCTTCAGGTCGAGAAAGCCCCCAGCCCAGTCCTTGGCTCCAACCGCCCCCACGGCTGCATGGCCCTGCCCAGGGAAGATGGCAGAGTCAGGATCTTTGCAGGGGAGCGGGGCGGGGTGGGGGTGTGGGAGGGAATGGCAGGTGCATTCCCATTGCACATCCTCAGCCTGCGGCTCCAGGCGCTCACGCACCCTGCTGAGGTCAGCGCTGATCCCGCTGGAAGACAGCTCCATATTGAAGGAAGTCAGGTCTTGCTTGCTTGTGCCTAAGGGACAAGGGATGGGAGAACGGGGCTAAGATTCAGGAAGCCCCCAAAACAGAGATGCTGGGTAGGCATTGCGGCACAGCAGCCGGTGGCCCACATCAGTGTTGGACCTCCAATGCCAATCCAGCTTCCTGCTAATGGGCCTAGGAGGCAACAGCTGGGCCCCTGCTACCCACAGGAGTTCCTGGCTCCTGGCTTCAGCCTGGCTCAACACTGGCTATTGCGCGCATTTGGGGAGTGAACCAGCGAATGGAAGAGATCTCCGTCTCTCCCTCACTCTCTGTTGCTTTGCCTTAACTATATCTCGAATATCCCTCGGGGCCGATGCTGTGGAGTAAGCGGGTGAGGCCACCGCCTGGAGTGCTGGCATCCCATATGGATGCCAGCTGCTCCACTTCCAATCCAGCTCTCTGCTGTGGCCTGGAAAAGCAGCGGAAGATGCCCCAAGTGCTTGGGCCCCTGCACCCATGTGGGAGACTCGGAAGAAGCTCCTGGCTCCTCGCTTCGGACTGGTGTAGCTCTGGCCATTCCGGCCAATTGGGGAGTGAACCAGTGGGTGGAAGACCTCTCTCTCTCTCTCTCTCTCTCTCTCTCTCTCTCACACACACACACACACACACTTTCAAATAAATAAATACATCTTTAAATAAAAGGGGGAGGGGCATCAGAGAGGGGTGTGGCCTGCTGAAGTCCCTCGGTGCGAGGCAGAGTGGGTCCCCGCGCAGGCTGCCCTGGCTCCATGGCCAATGCCACCACGCTTCTTCCGCTGAACCACACACCCAGGCTGTGTCATGGCAAAACGGCCCATGGGAATCCCACATCTTCCAGCAGATGCGGCTTCCGGGAAACACCTTTCCACTCGCAGCCCGCCATCTGCTAACTGCCATCAACCTCCTACCATTCCAGGGCGAGGCAGAGGGCCCGGGAGACCCTCACGCTTGGGCTCTGCCAGCGCGCCCATCTCAAGCGGGGCCGCCGAGAAGTGAAACTGAGAGAGAGCTGAGCAAGAGGAGAAAGAAGCGAAAGTCTCCTGTAGGCTCAGGTGAAGCCATCAAGCCGCAGGTCAGCTCTGGGCCCCGCCCTGAGCCAGGCCGACTCCGAGGGGGAGATGGAATTTCGGGGAAAAATACCAGCGGCCGTGCCTACTTCAGTGTCTCCTCAATTCCTCTGAGGAGAGCTTCTAGCACAGGTCCAGTTCTCACTTAGGGCTCATTGTTGTTGGGGGGTGGGATATCAAGATCTTCCATCGGCTGGTTCACTCCCCAAATGGCTGCAATGCTTGGGGCTGACCCAGGCCAAAGCCAGGGGGCCAGAACTCCATCCGGGTCTCCCAGAGGGCCGTCCTCTGCTGCTTTCCCAGGCTCATTAGCAGGAAGCTGGATCAGAAGTGGAGCAGCCAGGACTCAAAACAACACTCTAATATGGGATGCTGGTGTAGAAGTGGCAGCTTAACCTGCCATGCACACTACCAACCCTTATTATTATTATTATTAAAGATTTATTAATTTATTTGAGAGGCAGAGTTACAGACAGAGGAGGGAGAGACAGAGAGAGAAATCTTGAATCTGTTGGTTCACTCCCCAAATGGCCGCAAAGGCTGGAGCTAGGCTGATCTGAAGCCAGGAGCCAGGAGCTTCTTCTGAGTCTCCCACGTGGGTGCAGGGGCCCAAGGACTTGGGCCATCCTCCACTGCTTTCCCAGGTGTGCTAGTAGGGAGTGGAGCAGCTGGGACTCAAACTGGTGCCCTTATGGGATGCCAGTGCTACAGGCGGAGGCTGAGCCTACCACGCCACAGTGCTGGCTCCACTCCTATTGTTATTACAGATTTATTTGAAAGGCAGAGATACAGAGACAGACAGACAGACAGACAGACACACACACACACATACACACTCCCTGACACAGATCTTTCAGCATCTAGTTCACTCCCCAAATGGCTGCAGCACTCAAGACTGGGCCAGGCCAACGCCAGGAAGCCTGGAACCCAATCCAGGTCTCCCACGTGGGTGGCAGGGGCCCGAGCACTTGGCCATCACTGCTGCCTCCCAGGCGCATTAGCAGGAAGCTGGATCAGAAGCAGAGCCGCTCAAATTGGCGCCCATATGGGACGAGGTATCCCAAGTGACAGCTTCACCCCAGTGCCAGGACACCTGGCCCACTGCTCATTCGTCCTATTAATCCATGCGTTCTAGATTATTCGGGGGGGGGGGGAGGACGGGGGCTGCGCTCCTATCCACTGGTTCACTTCCCAAACACCTGTGATGCGTGAGGTCTCAGGAACTTAACCCAGGACTCCCGCAGGAGTGGCTGCATTCCCGACCACCTCGACCACCTCGACAGGAAGCTGGAGTTCGGAGCCAAGACGCAGAGCTGGTGCCCTGCTGTGAGGGCATCAGCCCCGCTCCCTGTGGGGCGAGCTTCTGAGTCCGCGCGTGCCACTCACCCTCGATGACGTAGATCTTCCTCTGCAGCTCGGTGAACAGATCCTTGAGCTTCTCGAATGTGTCCATGATCTTCACAAACTCCTCCGTGGGCTTGGAGGCGAACTTGTGGAGCGTCTCCTGGCTCTCCTTGGTTCGGAAGTGCCTGCCGATCTGCATGGGAGTGAAGGGCGCGTGACTGGCAACTCCCCTCCCCACCCCCGCCCACCCACCGCCCCCAGCCTCACGCCGGTTCTTCATTATTTTCTCCAGAAAAAAAGGATCCCGGGGTTCGAGAACAGGAGGGGTAAGGTGAGACAGGAGACGCGATGGGCCTGGGCCCCTACCCCAATGATGTAGCGGATGATGTCCTGGGCGGCCTCGATGCTGCCTTTGTCAGTGGCTTCCCCATCTGTGATGATAATGAGCACCTTGGTGGCGTCTGGCCGGGCCCCCAGCTCTGGCCGAAACACCTCTGTCCTGTGTCCGGGAAGAGAGGCTGTGAGTGACTTCCCCAACCAGGCCTGGAGGTCTCCCCACCCCTCTCATCATGATTTACTTGTAAAGAGTTATTTTATCTATTTGAAAGGTAATGTGTTAG